TATGAACGCGAACTGGCTGCAATAGCGTACTGCTTATAGAGCTGGCGACATTATGTGGAGGGTTGTCTTGGCGGGGTGGTTGTTCTGACAGACCACCAAACGTTAAACCGCATTATAGACCAGCCAGTGCTTACCCGGGTGCAGACCAGGTGGATGCGATTGGGGTTGTTTCAGTCGATCAATCCCATCATCAAGTACCATCCTGGGAAAGCAAACATTATCACCGATGCTCTGAGTAGGAGTCAGAGGAGTATAGTGGAACCGGCAGAACACGAGACAGAGAATACCGTTTCCCTCTTTACCGTGACAACTCACATGGAAATGGATCAGGAGGAGAGCCACAGATGGATCAAAGCACATAAGGCAGATCCACGTTTGGGGACAGTGTTGAGCACTTTACGGCAAAGTCAAAGAGCAGATGACTACTTGTTGACACCCAGTGGGTTGATCGGGATAAAGAAACATGGTCAAGTGAAAATCGTTGTACTTGCGTCCTTGCGTCAGAACATATTGAGGGAGTGCCACGATAGTCCCACTGCTGGACACGTGGGCATATGCAGGACGTTGGAACAAGTGGACAGGCAATTCCATTGGCATGGACTCAGAGGAGATGTTACTTCATATGTCAGGAGTTGTCCGACCTGTCAGCACATGAAGTCAGATAACAAGGTCAAAGCCGGTCTTCTGCAGCCCTTGGAAATTCCCTCAAGGAAATGGGCTCAGGTGACAACTGATCTGGTCACTGACTTACCAGAATCGGATGGCTATATTGCTATAGCAGTATTTGTGGACCGTTACACCAAAATGGTTCACTTTGCCCTATGCAGGAAAGAAGTAACAGCCATGGAATATGCCCGGTTGTTTGTTGACCATGTCTTCCGTCTACACGGTCTACCGGAAGTTATAATATCTGACCGAGATCCGAGATTTACCAGTAAATTCTGGAAAGGTCTATTTGACCTGCTGGGTACTGATCTCCGGTTCAGTACAGCGTTTCATCCTCAGACGGATGGCCAGAGTGAGAGGGCCATACAAACGCTGGAAAACTTCCTACGACCGTATGTTGAACGAAATCCACAACACTGGGTGAAGCAATTGCCGTTAGCGGAATTCGCCGCGAACAACGCTGAAAATATGGCCACGGGTTATTCGCCGTTTTTTCTTAACTCGGGAGACCATCCAATTTTGCCTACATCAATATTACAAGGACATGGAACCTCCCGAGTAGAAGCTGTACAACAGATGGTGGAATGGATGAAGACTGTCCTGGAGGAAGCACAAGCCAACCTTGCCCACGCGCAATGCCGTGCTCAGTATCAGGCGAATAAGTCGCGTAGGGATGAGAGTTATGAGGTTGGTGATGAGGTATTACTGGCAACGCAGAATTTGAGTATCGACCAGTATCTTCCGTCAAAAATCAGACGACGCTGGGTCGGTCCCTTTCCAGTAGTCAGAGTGATTTCTTCAGTGGCTTACACATTGCGTCTTCCCTCAGGTTGGAAGATTCATCCAGTCTTCCATGTCTCCAACTTGCGGAGACATGTCCGTTCAGAGAGGTTCGCACGGGTGGAGAAGCCACCTCCCCCGATATTGGTTGACGGAGAGGAGGAGTATGAGGTGGAGGCGATTCTGAGGCATAAGGGCACAGGAGCCCGGCGCCTCTATCAGGTCCTTTGGAAAGGTCATCCAGTGAATGAGGCTTCCTGGGAGCCTGAATCGCATCTCCGTAATGCTTCCTCCCTCCTAGAGGATTACCTGCGCCGGGTCGCTGCATCTGAGCCAAAGCAATCCCGGAAAACAAAAGGAAAACAGAACAAGTGATGGTGTCGCCGGGGAGTTCCGAGTGCCGGTCGTTGATGTGGTGGGATGGTTACAGTTGGTGATGGGGTCTTACGTCTCGGGTGTAATCGCGTTCGGCACGCCGAGCCGGACTTGGATCTATAGGTTGCAACTGAGCCACCGTACCGGCCGTACATAAGCACATTGTTGGTGCCGGGGGCCTTGTTTCTGTTTGGCCTTTGTATATCATGGGTTTCGTCGGGTTTTTCTTTACTTCACTTACTCCGTGTCTCGGGACAACCACTTCCTTATGGGGGGAAGTGATGTTGTGAATTCTGGTGGATCCAGTTGTACTGGTGATTTCACTTCATTTTGTTGTACTGCGATATTGGGGTGAGACTTGGGTTTACTAGATACACTAGGGGAGTAGTGTGTCTATAATTTGATTAGCTGCTGTTTGGCTAAATGAACACCTGACTATAATTGTGGTTCACACTTCCAATTGTAAGAATCTTTCCGAGTTCCTCGCTCGCTCTCCGTGCGCCCCTCGTGGGCAGGTCCTGGGGCGCACCCAATATGGTGCGCAACAGTAGGGGTGGAAGCCGAGGGCAAAGAGGGTGCCTGAAAACTGCTGGCCTATCTGCCTATCCTGGGGATCAAGGCGACCCTCGCCTACCAAAGCTTGGCGTGCTCCTCTCAGATGCTGCTGGCTATTCGGCACGTGAGGATTGACTCGATCCTTGAGGTGGGCAGATGGGCCAAATGCAAATTTTGCAAATCGCTAGATTTGACCCCACACTCAGCTGCTTCACACAATATGTGCACACAAGTTTTTGCACTAATTATTGCACCAATGCATGCACTCATTGGCGTACTTGACTTGATCCTAAAAGCAGTGAATCTTTGTGATTGCGCTTCATTATGAGGGAACATATTGAACTCATTTTAACTCGTTCCCACTCAGCTCCCTTTCAAGGCCTCAGAACTATTTCCACTTTGGCACTGGCACAATATACACCTCTGGTGCCTCACAAGCCTTATAGGGACCTGTGGGTAGTCGAGCTAATTGCACAACGTTGTATTACCAAGTTAATCAGAAGACCCCATGTGCGCAGCATACATTAATGTCCAACCTTATGACGTATAATACAACGGCAATATAGAATGAATGTATGATGCAGGGAATGTTGTGGATATGGGACAAAACATGTAACTCAGGTTCTTATGCTTTGAGCAATTTACCACAAATCAACACATCATGTTTAGCTCGGCGGCACCCATGGTATATGGCGGAGTGACATAACATCTCATCATATGTATGACACAATGCACACATCACAACATGACTCTGGTTGTAATAAATCAGAGCACTTAGAGGACATATGTGCTCTTCAAATTTTGCATGTAATATTATTATTAGTGCAGCTCCCAAGGTATATTAATGTTGCTCAAATGTGCAACACTTGTGATGAATTTATTGGCAACCGTGCTTGGCAATTGTTTATCTAATCCCGCAAACCGCAAATGTCCATCACAGGTGTTGTGGAATTACTTGGTTGTAGTTACAGCCAGGTTTCTTGGGGCCAATTTAGTGGCCTTGGCTGTTCATTTATGGAGTATTCTGGGTGGTTGTGAGTTCCTTGGGACTGGTGGAGACATGCCGGTACATTTACTTTACATTCTGCCTTTGTACAGTACATTTTCTGGTGTGTTGACCACCCAATATAGGGTGAGTCAGCTGCGCTGCGCGGGAGTGGCAAAACCGCGCCTGTTTGACTTTCTGTAACTGCATTCGGACCCTAGCACCCGCGCTTGCCGCCACCGAGCGCGAGGAGCCCATTCCGCCGGACCTTCGGGTCCTGTGCCACACCCCGGCGATCCATCGGATCACAAGGGCCCACCACAACGAGCGAGAGGGGAAGCGAGCGCCCCAAGACGCCACACCACGAGGTGTGAGACGCTGCCCATCGGCAGCGATTGGGCGCCGTCGGGAGGCGCCCAGAAAGGCATCGAACCACCCCATCAACAGGTCAGTGGGGCGGGTTACCCCATAAGAGCACCATACGTGCAATGCACAAGGCTCCAACCTTGTATAATATAACATAATATCTAGTTTATGTACATATTACAATATCATGGGCAATGCGTCCCCCACACCAAGAGATTAAGGCAAGGCGTCCCCCACACAAGGTATATGCATGACAAGATGGTTCGATCGCGCCCCCCATGAAGCTAGTCCGCAAAGCCGGGTCCCTTGCCGTGAATCCACCGCTTAGCCACGCACAAATAATGCGCCCATTTCCCATTGCTGTTGGTGCGGCTGACTCTGGGGCGCGAGCGCCAGCGCCCACCCCGCCCCGGCCGGCCATTAGTCAAATTGTGCGCGCCTGCCGGTCACCTCCACTCCCTGCCCATGCCATTCCATGTTGGCACCTTTGGCGTCATCACCGCTCTCCCCGCCATCAGGATGGCAAGCAGCGGGCGCTTGCCTGTCTACCAATCAGTCGGCCAGGAGCCTGCCGGGTGGTGGGGAGCGCCGAGAGGATGGCGCAAGGTGGGGGTGGCCTTCGCGTGTCCAATTAACGGCGGGCCGGGTGATGCGATTGGTTGCCAAACGAGTCTACAATGGCGCCAATTGCTTCCCAAGGTTCGAGGCCCGAACCGCCTGCATGGCAAGCGGCAAGTGCCTGCCTACCAATCGATCATCCAATGGCCTGGTAGGTGCCGGCGCCAAGCCCGTCCTGAAGCCGCACCCCAAGCATTACTAAATTTGGCTACTCCGCATTTCCCTCTGGCACCGTTATTTTTTTATTCATCGACTCCATGAAAAAGGCCCCAGCGTTACGTTACTATGAAGAAGGGTTTAAACACTACGGTAAAATCGTGCAGATCCCCATTACTAATTCTGGTGGTCCGAGAAGACCTCGTTACCGTGGGGGGCCACTGGAAACTTTCCCGCACGATCGTGGGGATCTGTCCTGTGGGGGTATTGATGGGTTTGGGCCACAGTCCATTAAAAGCTCAGCAGTCCGCGTTGGGCCGATCACAGCTCGATCGTGACCCGTTCCAGGTCAACATGTACGTCCGTCGCATGTTCGGATAGCCACTTCCGTCGCTTCTTGTATACGCACCTTCTGCGCTCCGATCAGCCCACCTGGGGAAGTTGTGTCGCTTCGTTTTTTGGCTTGCTACGTTCCTATGTGACTATCTGAGCATCGCAGATGGCCTTACCTGGAAACCACAAGCGCGGCAGGCCTGTTAACGAGCAGGGAGATGAGGACCCGCGCCTGCGTGCCAAAAAGAAGTGCGTCAGTGCCCGTGTGCCGACTCGGGCCACTCCTTTCCCGCCGCGTTCGTACAGGCCTCACTACGGCGAGCCCTCAAAGTGAGTAGTCGCGAAAAGAATGCAGCACCTGGTGACAGTCAAAACTGCCTGATGAGTTTGCAAGGAGCACCATGTGGTGTGAACGAACTCAACTGCTTTGTGTGCAGGGTCGGTGCTTTCAAAGGGAACTGCGAGCGACTGGTGGGGCTGCTGCAAGAGAGACTTGACGACGTGGAGATCGCCAAGGTCCGTGCAGTCCTGAGTTATTGGATTTATTTCATTATTTCGCAGATGCATGTGGGACTTCTCGAGCTGTCTGCTCAGGTTTTTTAGTGTGAACGTGCTTGGGTTTAAGCAGGCTATGCGCGTTGTTGGCGTTTTGGTTGACTGCTTTGCACATGTGGTGTGTGGAGCCAGCCAGCGGACATATCTGTGGACGATATATCGTTTCTGAGGGAGTTCAAGAAAAGGAAGACAATCGGAAGGCGTTCCAGCCTGCCAAACCCACAGTCTTGTTTTGACACAGACCTCACAGACTCTGAGGAGAGCTGCTGGAGCGAACATGACATGGATGAATGGGATGGTTGTGATCCATCGCCAGCACATCAGGAGAACAGCAAGGCTGGGTGCAGTTGTGCTGCAGGCACCCTGCCCTGCTGTGTGTCAGAGAATGGTTCAAAGCCTGCAGAGAAGCACAGGCACCCTGCTGCTCGTTTTGGTTTATTCGACCAAGTGCTGATGAGCTTCAGCGAGTTGACAACACACCTGGGGAGTGTGTTTGATTTCCTCATGAGAGGGCGTGCAAATGACAAGTATCGCAAGGCTGTGGAGGTGCTCCTGACGAAAATTGCGGCCAATGTGGCCCAGGATGCTGAAGGGTAAGCATGGTGGACATTGCAACCATAGCAATGCCACTTTTTGTTAAGAAACTCACATGTTGCACCAGACTCCTGTAATGCCAGGAACTGAATTTTTTGCCTGCCAAAGCAGCACCTGGTCACCTGGGTAACTTGTCAACGCTGTTGTTTTGTGAAATGACCATTGATTGGACTTGCTAACCACCCTGAGAGCTTCAGTGTCCTTGCTGAAATGGCTCTTTTCTGCCAACCTGCAGTACCAAACCCAGTGCTGGTGGACTGGGGCATTATAATGCACAGCTGAAGAGAGCCTTGTGTGGGAGGAATGGACAAGAGACACTGAGTGAAGGTGACAGAGAGGACAAGCTTGTGGGTGGCATTGGACCCTCCAGCAGCAGTGTTGGACTGGTGCAGCACATTTCTGAGGTGGTTGTTGTACTGCGAGTGCACAAGGCTGCTTGGAGAAACTGCCGAGTGAGTGCAGTGGCTGGCATCAGACTGGCAGCTTCACAGCAACAGAGGCGCCCCATAGTAGCAACCTACATGATATGGGACCAGAAACTCACTGTGGCTGTTCACTATTCTGTCATGGTACTCCGCAGGCATTTTGCACTCTTGTCAATGGCATGAAATTGCCCTTCCAGTGGCAGGCAACGGGAACCCCACTGATGCAGCTGCAGTTCTTTCCAATTCAGATACTGCTGCTCATGTGGTCGATGCTCCCGAATCCAGTCATCTGTGTGGTGATCACACCAAACGCATGTCATGTGATGGGCATTTTGTTGTACGTTTATTGGGCTGCGCAGCACATGTGCATTTGGAGTGATATCATGTTATTGCATGGTTTCCACTGCCACTTGCATCGCTACGTGTATCAAATATCACAGATGAATATGGCTTGCAAATCACTGGTGCTGAAATGTAGAGGTAACGGGGCTCATGGCAAGCAATGACCTGGCCACAATGCAATGTGGAGTACAAGCCATCAGGTCCACTGCAGAAAGGGCAAGTGTGTGGCATCGAAATAAGTATGTGACATCACTCGTGGCAATTGATTCTTGATTCCTGCTTCCCACAGTGTAGTTGCCAGAATTTGTCAGTGATGTGTGTGTGCGTGTGGATTCCATACACATATACATGCTATCCACATACCACATACATCCATACTATGGAACGTTGTGCTAGGGATGCTTGGGTGCATGCTGTTCTGCACTGGCAAAGCGTATGCACAAGAACCCAATGCTGTCCTGGCTGTGGCAGCACATTCTTTGAGGTGTAATAAATGAGGGCCTGTTTGCAGCAACTAACATGGTTTTTGATCTCCATTGACAGGCAGGCAACACATACAACACAGGATGGCAGGCCACAGATATCCTTGCTCTTGGTCGGCATGCCCTCAGTGAGGTTCTGGATGTCATTCGATGTCCTGCTGATAGCAACCTTGCAAGTGTGAACAAGTCTGTGAACTCAGCATACTTGTTCATCGAGGGCGTTTTCTACAACGACACCCGGCAACCTGGGGCTGTGGATGCATCTAGAGAGATCCGGTATGCACAATGATGATGCAGCAGTGTTATTAACTCGCGACTGTGGTCATTTGGTCACAAGCTGTCTTCTTGGGTACGCATGACACAATAAGGCGATCTGTTGATGACTTGCACAATGCAAACAACTGCTTTTTGGTCATTGCTTTTCAAAGACAACTATGGCACTTGTGGTGGTGCTGTCTTAGTATGCCTGCTACGCTTGGTGCACTTTGTCTTGCATATCCTGTTACTGGCCCACTGCTGGCAGGTAGGCACAACACAGCAGAAGCAACAGGTGGCAACAATAACAAATTTACAGCATCGGCTCTCTTGTCTCCATATCTGTTGATAGGTCATCTCACCTTTGCTGCCATACTCTGGATGGTAGGCTTGATGGTTGTCGTACCATGCCCTGCAGGGACTTTTGTACCAAGCACAAGACAGGATGGCCACTGCATCCAGAGTCTCCACATGACTGGCAATTTGAGGTGGCTGACATCGACGGCACGAAAGTAGAGGAAATGTGGCTAAGGGCTGGCAACAAACCATTATATCTTTACTGCCACCAGGTGTGACTCTTTTGACAATTCAGAAATTTTGCAGTGAGCAAGCTGCTGCTGTTGCTGATTTCCAAGTGTTGCAACACTTCTTGACAGGATCCACGTGTGGCACCACCTCCTGTCAGATAGGGAGCTTGTCATGCTGCTTGCTTGGCAGCCGATTTTCCATACAAAAATGATCATGCAACAGTGAGATGGTGCACTCCTACCCAACTAGGCAAATGTTTAACACCAACAGTAATCAGTAGCTGACTGGTAGTTGTGCTGAATGTGCAGTGCGCCATGAAGTTCTGTGCACGTTGTGCTCTGTGTTCGCATCAAAACTGCATGGCACCATGTTCTGGTTGTGATTTGTTCTTATTGTCAGTTGCACTGAGCAGCCCCTTTGAACATGCCAGCTGAGCGACTCTGCTTTATGCGCTGTTCTTGTACCTGGCATCTGACATATGTGCTGCTCTGCCAGGCTTGTTGTGAACACCTAATGAGCATCCTAGACGTCAGGCTACTGCACTCAGAGGATCCATGGGAGTTGTCTCAACGCCCTGTTGTCGTCAACGAACCAAAGGAACGAGGTCGCAAGTGCTACATCTGCCGCAAGAAGTACTCTACAAAAGTGACTTACCAAAATCCCCTTGTCCTCTATAACCCATGCTTCCTTTGTAACGAGTGCTTCCAGATGCTCCACTATGACAAGAATGGAGATCTTCTTCTGGATCAGGTGATAGTATTTCCTTACAGCCATGAGAGATAAGTGGCAATAGTCATTGTAAAGAATCTCGAACAGTGTGTCTCGAACAGTGGGGATTTGATTGTTTTGTGCATGCATGAGAAGATGTAAGTGCTGCACAGCATGCTATGAGCTGCTCGTTCACCGTTCCAAATGCAGCCCAACATGGTGTAAACTGGACAACGCTGTGCGATGCTTGGCAGGTCTCTGACCATCAGGTCGACATCTTTCCACTGAAGAGTGCAGCACCTTCATCTAGTTTATGTATTACCTGCCTCCTTGTGGGAAGCCTTCAGGAATGCTTTCTTTGTGATAAATGACATCGTAGGCCACAACTCAGTGGGCTGATGGCTGACTACTGCAGGCTACAATCAAGTATGGGCTGCTGTGTTGTGCGGAATGTGTACTTGCGAGTGCAGCGTGGTGACACTCCTATGCACTTCCCAAGTTCAATGCCCTGGCAGCACGATGCGTTCTACTGAAATTGCACCTGACACAAAGCTGTTTGCGTATATTCTTCGTGGTCTTCATGAGGACCGGGTCGTTTTGAAATGGGGCTGTGTGCTGCTATCAATTGCGCAGTTGGTCGCGTGTGTTGTGTCCAGTTATGCCAATGTCTACCACACCATTGCTATATGTTGACTGGCGTGGTGACACGTGACAGCTGTCTGAAAGTATTGACGTCGAAGGCCGCTATGCAACATGAACAGCAAGAAAGGGTGCTGCACAGTGAAGAACAGTCAGGTACACCTAAGGATTTTGATGCCCTATTCGTTGTGTGCAAGTTCCTAGCTAGGAACTTCCCATCAAATGTGCAGCTGCCATGCAGCTCGAGAAATTTGCAGAGCTTTCATATGGAAATGACCCAATAAGGGCAGTAACGTTTTAGCTTGGTAAGGAATGATAGAACCAGTCAACAATAATCAAGCTTGAACTGACAACGCCAAGTTTTTGGCTGGAACGAGCAAAGGATGGCAACTACATTGCGCTAAAAGCGAATATGGAGAAAGATACGTTGCCTTGCTTTTGAACTGATGAGCTGCATTTGTCATTCTGTTATGAGATTCGGATGCCTCGGTCGATTTTATAGGTGAACGTGGATTGGTGATTGTGGATAGGTGGCTGTGAAGGTGATTGTTGATTATGTAGTGCCGTTTTGTGTGTGGGTCACGGATGAGTTAGGAACAATTAGATATTTGAGTGGTGTATCCGATCCGATGGCCTGGGATTTGTGCGTAGATGGGCCGCGAGCAAAATCTGCAGGTCACACTTTATGGGACGCGTGATTCCGACGCCACATGAGCAAACGAAATGCCTCCATTTTGTCATGTACCGCAATAGTAAGGGATGATGACGTCATGCCTTTTTCAACTCGAATCCCATTGGGCAGAAGATACCAGCTGGGAAGCACCTCCGGATTTGAGCCGACTCCACGCACCAGCGCCGCTTTTGGCACCTCGTCTGCTGGCCATCGCTCCCCTTTCTGGCGTGCGGAGAACATCTGCGCAGCTGTGGCTCGCTGCGGGACCATCGTCGTTGCGCGATTTGCCGCTCGAGTGGTCGATGGGAAATTGCTGGGGGTGGCTATTCGACGATGGCAAAGGGGCCGCGTCCAATGTCAAAGAGGTGAACACGGGGAGCGGGACGGGACGCTGGGACTTTGAATCGGCTGGGAAGAAGAATGACGCGCCTGGCACAGGGGACGTGCATGGAATGAAGCTCAACGGGAAAGCGGAGGATATGATAAGACAGAGAGCCAAAGCGGCCGTCCTTGGCAGCTTTGTGGCTGACGCGGCCACGATGGGCCTTCACTGGTGCGCCCTGAAGCGAACTGGCACCTTCCCACCCGATGCGCTCGTTGTGCTGGAAATTGGGAGGTGTCCCTGGGAGATGGTGAAGTGCGCATTGCGTTGGCGTAAACCGTGCGGTGCCAAGACGTTCAGGCGCTTCTGGCGGCATGACTATTGCGGATCGACATATGTGTAACTGGGGCATTTCGCCGTTTCTTGGACGACGGTTGCCGCTGGAGGAGAAAGGGGTCTGTTGTTTTAAAGTTCGGGAATGCTTGGATGGTTTGGGGCAACCGCCCTAATCGGATTCGTCCACATCTTGTACGAAGCGAGGATGTCCCAGCAGCGATTGCAGGGCTACGCTTGATGATGGACCGTTAACATCTTTGCAAGGGGATGCAATAACGCTGTTCGGGATCCTGGATGTGTGCAGGATATACAATGTGTCCCATCTCCAGGATCTCCTGAAGAAGAATCAGGGGGCTGGAAATGATTTGCTCCATCCAGAGTTCTTTGAGCCGCCCTCTTGCCCCTTCTACAAGGTATGCAATATGAAGAGAATGGCCTTTGGACAGCAGAAAGGCTGAACAGATTGCCAGTCATGATGGCTGTGAGACAATGACCTGCGTTGCTCCTTGCTGCGCTGCAATCCACCAAATACTGGGTCCCTGCAATCCACCAAATACTGGGTCCTAGAATGGTGTACTGTCGTTGGTAGAGCCTGTCACTGGCATTTTGAGGCTTTGTATTTTGCATTACAGTATACCAGCGGTGAGCTGTCTCCATACGGTTTCGAGGCCAAGACAGTGCTGGAGTCGATTGCTGATGTTGGAGGGGTGGACGGCCAAGAAATGAGCCAAGTGAGCCAAAGTGCAGAAAATGTGTGTCGAAACTGCATGGCAGCCAAGGCACCCAGGATGCATGGCGTTGGCCAGGCATTCTCATAATGTCAGTCTTCTGTGCTTTGCACACCAATGGCTGCCTTTCTGGTCAATGTTGTGTTTCCTCATTGTGCACTGTTGCCACATTGAGCAAATCTTTGCTTTGGATGTCTGGGTGTTGAGGCATGGGGATTGCTGATTTCTACCAGAACTGGACTTGTTGCCACAAACTGCTCTGTTGAATTCACTGTTTATGTAATTATGTGCAGCACATGTATAAAGCTTTCAAGCAGTATGCCAGTGGAGGTGGCTACCTGAACTCACCATCAAGAGAATTGGTCGCCAATTGTGATGCCGGCAGCAAATATCCCGAGGCGTCTGCCTTTGACGATCAGGCCAACAGCATGGTCAAGGTAGCTAAGTTGCTCCACAGTTGAATTTGCAGCCAGTGTGCCTTGTGATGGGCTTTCTGTTTTCCCGCAACCAGTGATTTGCCAAACACAACAGAAACTATTCCACAGTATTTTCCTGCTGATCGGTCAGAGAACGAACATGGACACGTACACCAGAAACACAGATGTTGGAACCTCAGTAGACACCTAAAACCGAACTAACAGCATTGCTGAGGGTGCTCACTTCGAAATTGTGTTGTGTCCATTTGTGCGCAGTAGTCTCACTGGGTTTTTTCGTTAACCTCTTTGCTCTGGATTCCAGAAATGCCCAGTTGCAGTTTTTGTACAGGACTGTCTTTCTTCGTTATGCACCAGACCCAAAATTGGCAACATGACAAGTAAGAGTAGTTCTATTTACCACAAGGAACCATCCATGGCAATAGTAGCATGGTTTTGAAACCAAGTGTATGCACATGGAGGTGCACATCCATTGGTTAGAGGCTGGTGAGAGCTGGGAATTGGCAAACCTGAAATGCAACAACAGCTGCAATTCATTGCCCCAGGTGTTGATTCCATGGCTATGGTTTGCATTGGCAGGTGGCATCAGTTGTGGCACGATATGCAGGAATGCCAGAGCTGGTTGAGAAGATAAAAGAAGCTGTCAAGGCGCATCAGAACCATGAACGTGCTGAAGCATCGGCTGTTGGTATTGGCCTTGTCCTTGAGAAGATAATAGTTGATGGTGTGAAGGCAAAATCAGCACTCGAATGGGCATTGCAAGGCCATGGCAATGTGCCACACCTTGCCAAAAGCTGGTGGGTCATCAGTTGCTAATTGTGGCTACTGCCGTCTTTGGCTCATTCAGTTTGTGCGGTACTAAAGCAGCAACATGCACACACATGTTTCCTGCTGCTGCAACTCTTTTGAAGCTCTTGTGCAGCTTTTGTACTGAACTGCAGTGGAATTGGTCCCCATCAAGCAGCTAGTCTTTGCGGATGTACACTAAAAGGGCACTCTGAGGGGCTGTGGTGTGTATGTGAAACCTATAGGATGGTGCCACAGGATTGCTGGGTATGAATGCCCTTGCTAGAGAGAAGAAGGGGTTCCAGAAAGGGTGTCCTGCACGCAGGACATAAGTTCTGACCTTTATCACTAGCAGCCTCATCTCAACTTCACATCCTGTGGACCTTCCAAGGGCTTCAATAAAAACGAGAGCCTTGAAATTGACAAATCTGGGAGTCGCAGCATTAGAGAATCATTCAGGGGTAGAATCTCACATGGTGCTGATTTCCAAATCTCAAGACATGTCGGGGGGGTGGGGGGAGGTGGGGGGGCGCAGGCGATCGTGTCGGGCAGCTTAGTAGACACAATTGAGGCTAAATTGCAAAGACGTTCCGTCATTTTGGTGTGTTGGACTGGGTTCACCGCACATGCAGGCAGGTCTCGTGGCAAACTTATACTCATCGTACTCATCAGACTACTCACCATCCTCGTGTTCGTGCTCTCCCAATGCGCAGGATCAAGAGTGCGGCAAGCAAGGATGGAACACCAGTCCCGGACGCCATCGGTAGCATGGGCCAGAGCTGTCACCTTCCAGGTGCTTTCCAGGGGCCCATATACACTGCATATTTTGCTCCAGGGTACGTTGAAGCTGTCAGGGAGAACATTGTTGCCGGTGGGGACAGCTGTTCCAGAGCAGTCGTCACTGGAGCGTTGCTTGGGGCACAGGTGAGTCCCAGAAAGGTGTCCTGTTTGTAATAGTTGCTCTTACGCAACTGTGCCATTCAGCGAGCTCTGGGCTAATCAAGCTGCACGATTTTGCGCAATGCGCTGGCAAGCCCAACCCTTTTACCTCCTTTGTCGGTTGCATTGCGTAGATTGGAATGGCCTCCTGGGTGTATTAGATATATCCTACATATGTGCCCACTTACAGAGACCACGTGATACTATTATACGCACAGGAATGCTGTCAGCGCCTTCCCTGACCATTGTTACATCACCATTACTCTCTGAACTCCATGTCAACTCTTTGCCCTCACGGGTGCAAGCTGTGCTGCTGTTGGCCTTGCAGGATGGCCTGGACGCAGTTCCCGACAGCTGGAAAGCGAAGGTGAATGACTACGAAGCGCTGGAACAACTTGTGGACAGGGTTATCGCAAGCAGGCCAGAAGGGAACTAGAGCTACTTCCTCAAGTGCGGGATCGAGGAGTTGCTGCAGAATCCTGGTGCTGATTGTGACCAATGTGAAGTCAACAGACTTTCCACGCGACGCCTCAATGCCCCACTTCCTGACGCTGTGCACGATTTGCGTCATGACCACATAAATGCAGTTGCCCCCACTTGCTGCTGAGTTCTTTGCAGCATCTCGCTGGTGTTCGTTACGCCGGCGAGTTGGCCTTTAGCCTTTTCTGGCCGTCTGGAAATTGCAGGTATCAGGGGAGGTAACAGTGTACTGTACGTTCAATTTGCAGTACGCCACGGCTTCCATTCTTTCGAAAAGTTGCACAGGTTAAGAATTTGAACAGTGGGACGTTGCGTGCTCCCGTGTATTTGGGATAGAGGTGCTCCCGTTCAGTGCGGATACCTCGTGCTCCTGTAAATTTGAAATCTGATCGAAGGCTCGAAGGTGATGGGGTCAAGGGCACGGCACCAGGCGCTTCCCTATTATCACAAGCCTACCACAGACGCTGGCGCTCCAATACTGCCACTGCTGACGAATTGGCACCAAAACCCCTGTGACGGTAATGTGAAATGCGTGGTGAACCCATAGATGTTTTCCCAGATTGTTCGGACCCGCTCCTGGCACAATTGCAGTCTGAAATACTTTATTCCAGCATCCCCTTGGGCTGTGGGTGGCCATGGCACCTGGGGTCCTTCTCTTCGATGCTATGATGAAGACAAGCGTGGTTGCAACACAGGGACATCCCAATATCACTGGACACAATTGAGACCAAGTACATCCTAGTGCTGTGGCGTTGGGGTTTAAACTGTGGAGCCGAATTTAGGCGGTTCTCGTGCAGCAGTGTCTCCAGCATCGCGGTTGAAAATGGACTATATTTTCAACCCACAAAGACACGACTGATTCCCACCACATTGATGCTCATCGATAATGCTCGCAACACTTGAGGGAGCAACGGGAGCACCCATGCCGGATATGATGTACAATGTGTGTGCTTGATCAGGCATGCCTCTCCCAGTGACACATTCATATGCGGCTTCACTGCAACATCTATCCATGCATCCATAACAACAAAGAAACACATTTGTGACAGCATTGGATACATCCTGCTGTGAATGATTGGGCAAACCTCCAGGCAAGAACCTTGTAAAACCAGAAGGCGAGGAAGCCACACCTACCATTTGCGGCATCAGTCCCAGGGTTCTTACAGTGTTCTTACACCAAGGCTATGACACCTTGTCCCTCTCTTACAGCTCTTCATCAAATTTTGGCAGGAGTGGAGGAACTCAGCAGGGGCAGATAGACTGTCAGCAACTAGCTCAAAGATGTTTTCGAGCATCCAGCAGTATTGACTGCAGCTCTTTGGTGTGAGGATGTTCCCAGTCTCAGACGAATAAATTACAGTGTTTGCACAGGCCCCTCCCCTCCAATGCACTCGCCACTACCTTGAAACCCAATCCCCTTTCGCCCGTACAGGGCTTATCGGCTGCCATCCAAAAAAGCAACTATGGCACCAAAAAATACCAACATTCTGTTGCAAGAATCGCCCTCTGAGCAGGGGAAGTTCCCTTTCACCCAAGGGGCATATTGGCTGCCATCCCAAAAGCATGTACCGCATGAGCCACTCAAGATGCAGCCAGTTGTACACCCCAAAGGCCCAGGCCAATTTGAACAATGACGGTCCCTTGTATCCCAACACACATGCTCATCAGTATCCCTCATGATAGGCCAACAGCAACACAAGTATAGCTCACAAAATTCACAGGTTGTCTTTGTCAACGGCCTCCATCGACTTTTCGAGAGAGGCCATAAGAGTCTCCTTCAGCAAGTAGGCATTCTCTTCACTTATCATTTGCAGGTCCTGTGTGAACTCGGAAGCAAGATGGCTGCGAATCTGCGAGTCACAGTGCTGGTGTCAACAATGGCATTGTGCACGACCAAGGAACCAAGATGCTTCCAGAGATCCAAGATGCCTTCCAGAGAGAGCAAAAGGTATGCTGTGAGACGAGCTTTCCTCACCATTTTCATGACAGCGACGTCCAGCAGCCCATTTCTTACCTCCAATATGCGTTGAGCAAGGTTTCGAGGGTCAACGCCGACCTCTCCAAAAGCATCGAACATTGGGTCCTGCCCCTGCAGTGACAAGAGGACACATGACCACATCATGAAAGGTGCAAGCCATGGGATGGGCTGACAGCACCTTTCACGCCAGATCTGCACTGTAGATACATATTCTGCAGTGGTGCTGGATCCGAACTTGGTCGACATGCGGCTGCACACACACACACACACACACTCACAGTGTTGTATCTGGTTGGTCTCACTCCCATGGCGAGCAGCCTGCGAAGAAAGGCTTCCCCAGAGACTTCGTCCCAGCTTGCGTTCCCCGAATACGGAATGGGGTTCTTGTTCATATAGTTCATGAGCCATTGGTACACGTGCATATTCGTCTCCATCAGGTACCGCAGCAGAGTCCTCGCTGCCCTGCAACAGGCCAGGCCCAGCGCACAGATCAAACCCCCAGGGTGCCCGGAGATCGATCCGAGTTCTCCCACGCAGTAAGGCAGCCACAGAGCGGCCCCCTGCACCAGTTCGGGTGAAAAACATCCATGGAGTCCGGAGCGACCGTCGGAACGACGTCAACGCAAGGCTTCCTTCCGCGAGTCACCTGTCAGTCAGCAGGCCGATCAGCCTGTCGCGGTTGCCGTCTCTCAGCGGCGAGTCGAAGGGGCTACGCAGGTGTGCCGGCCTGCCCCTCCTTCGCTTGTCGCTCTCGAAAGACGACCCCTTGCCGCCGGCCCGCGCAGCGACCTGCAGCCCCTGCACCCGCGCCGCGGGCGCCCGCAGGCGCGATCCGGGCGGCAGCGAGTCTGTCGGGCAGCCCGAGCGGCAGCCGCAGTCCCTGAAGGCGGCCCCCAACATCGGTCGACCGCCAGACGCAAGTGCCGTGGCACCGCAGGGCTGGGTACAAGGGGGGCGTGCCCGCTCATGACCTCGCACCACATGACATTTCATGAAAGGGTGTGCTCTATTGATCGAAGGCGCGAGCAATGATATGCTTGTGGTCAAAAAATGGACTCAGAGCGGGCTTGAGACATCGCCGGTCGTCTTGGCCCAGGATGGCCGAGTTCCTGCAGTACTGCGCTCGATGGTCCCTGTTTTACGTCGGTGGGGCCTTTGAGCTTGCGGGAAACGCGTGCGGCAACGTCGCCAATCTCCTGTGTGAAAGGAAACAAGACACGTCCAGGTACAAGAGCGCCAACGGCAAGGTGCGAAACGCAGGGAGCCCCACAGACACAAGTGAACGACGCTCAAGCAACAATTGATGCAGCGCTGAGCACCCTTGTTTGGGCAGCAACAGCACTGAAGAAAATTTTTCTTTCCATATGATCAGGTGTGCGTAGTGACAGGGGCCAATGCTGGGGTTGGCTTGTCCACGGCAAAACTCTTGGCCAAACGAGGAGGCCATGTCATCTTGGCCTGCAGGTCGAAGGAGCGGGGCCAGAAAGCAGCAGAGGTTGGGAAACGTCCACTTCATAGATAACTGACGTGCGGCTAACCGGAGAAGCCACACATGTGTCCACTCCACCAGACTGTGAGCTTCAAATGCCACGCCAATCAGTTCGGGCACAGCACAAAATAAACAGCAATGATTGTGATACAAAGCTCACTCACAGTTATTGCAAGATGCGATAACATGCTATGTGCAGTCACCTTCTGTCCCATTATTATGCTGTGGGCATTTGCCTGCTGTGGAGTGCCCTTTTGCCTAGCCCATCCTACCAACGTTTCCCAGAGCACAAACAGGAGCACTAGGAGGCCATTGCTGATTTCTGAATCTGTCAATGAACTCCTGCAAGGCGAACTGGATGTTGAAAGTGATTCAGATGTCATGACAATTGGAAAGGCTGCTGCACCTGCTGTTGTGGGGTCTTTGCTGCTTTCCAATGATAAAGAATTTTGAATTTGTTTGTTGATATTTGCTCAACATGTTCTTGCAGTTTCCCAGAGTGTACCCTTTTTACTCAGTATGTCCCCCACTGTTGTGCTGCTTCACATAACCACCATCGGGGCAGGGTTGAGGGTAGGCTTGTGGAAACTGGAAAACGGTCAGGATGAGCCACAGAACAAATGTCATTGTTGACTGTGCTGTGAAAGCCATTGTTCATGAACTGGTTTGGACTTGTGGTGGTGCACACAGCTTGTTAAGTCTGTAACTCCCCTCCAAGGTTGCTGCCCTCCAAAGGTTGAGGTCATGCAATTGGACCTTGCCTCCCTCAAGAGCGTCAAGAAGTTTTGCCGCAATTTTGATGGACGTCGCTTGCATTTGGATTTGCTTGTCTGCAATGCTGGTGTCATGAAACTGCCACAGAGAACTATCACAGAAGATGGAGTGGAGGCCCAGTTCCAGGTAGCCAATATGGCCAGTATGGCCACTGAGCTGTGGCCATATGTGTACAATAACTGCACCTGTTTTAGATACATTCTGGTGCTCTGTCGATTGGACCATGTGTGACTTTGCTCAAATTCCAGGCTCTAAACTATTATCGCTGCTTTCAGTTGTGTTCCAAGCTGCATGGTGTGCAATATTTGAACTTTCAAATCTCCGTATCACATGTTCTGAGGTCTTGTCATTCTCAATAGAGTTGCAAGGCTGCACGCTTATTCAGTGGTGCATTGCAAGCCAAACTTACAGCAGGATGCATGATTTTGTTTGCCGTATTGCAATGTGATGTTCATACCGGTTAACAAAGCTTCTGGAATAACAACATACCGTTGCCTTCCTCTTAGCTACAAACCTAAAGTTTGGCATGATAATCCCCCCCAAATAGAAAAAATCCTGGTATTGACTCATTTTGCCTACTGGATGCTCTGGACACACTGTTCAGTCTTGGCAAGTATTGAGTATGAAATTCATACGATGGATTATTTGCCCTCCAATATCTTAAGACAACTGAAATCATTGTCAACAATAGTCGATGAGTGAAAACTGAATGGAAACCTGCAACCAGCACCTGACAACTTTTCGAAACAAGCAGTGCTTTGAATTGGTTGCTGTTTGGTCTTCAACACCCAGCATCTTGAGCTTTGCCTCTGATGCACTGGGACCCGCTGTTGTCCTTCTATATCCATGCAGTATTGGTTGCATCAACTGAACGAATCAGGATTCTTCTGAGCACCTGTTGTGGCTGTGGCACAGGTCTGTGTCAACTTGCTCTTTCCAAGTGGAAGGACTTGTGTTGTTACAGCCAAAAATTAGGATTGTATTTGTCCCCTATCGAAATATCTCATCAGCAGTTGTCACTGGACCTGCCCATGGTGCACAGATCGAAAATCTTTGCGCCAGCTCTAGTGTTTGTGGCAGTGGTCTGCGTTTGGCACAGTTTGGGAATTCACCATTGTCCCCTTGCCAAGCTGTGTGTCCATGTGTTCTGAATATGCTTAGATGACAACAGTATTGCAGCAATTGTGAAAGTGGAAGGCAAATGACTAAGGCGCCTGTGCACCTGTGCAAAAGGTGAACTATTTGGGTCATTGGCTGCTGACCAATTGCCTTTTGCAAGACCAACTTAAGCTGCACAAGGCCTCCAGGTCTCCCACCTCACGAAGAGTTGTTTTCGTTTCATCTACAGCCCACAAACCAGGGAGAATTGATTTCAGTGACACGAATGTAAGTGCAGTGCACGCTCTGCAAACTTGCAAGCAAGGAATGGTGGTTCTAGTACTCTTCTCTTGTTAATGGACAGATTGAAAATTGGCTCCAAGTTTTGTGTTTGCAAATATCATTCACCATGGGCTGTGTGTCACACGCAAGGTGCTTGTACTCTTCACAACTCCATTTATGTAAAGCCATGCTTCTGAAGCCATGGCCATTGCATGCTGCCAGGCTGAAAAGGGGTACGACAGCATGCAGCGATACTCTGATTCAAAATTGGCAAACGTCCTGGCAGCCAGGGAGTTTCAGAGGCGATTCGATAGGTAACAGCCCTCCAGCAAGAGCAGCACAGTTGATGGATACCTGAGATCAAAACTGTTTGTGCAGAAACTGCTTTTATGTTTACTAATAAGGGGGACACCAGCTTTATTTCGGGAACTTTTTGAATCGCACTGGATGCAGGAACTACAATAACTTCGGGAGTCACACAGCTGTGAGCGTACATCCTGGCCTGCTCCACACCGAGCTTGCTTGTGGTTATTTCAAGGGTCTTGTGCCGAAGCCGCTGAGGTGTTTCACAGACCCGCTCATGCAGCATGTTGTACTCCCACTGGCCTTGAGGCCTGCGGAGTTCGGTGGTGAGTCGGTGCTTTATGCTGCCCTGGCACCAGATGCAGAAGTGCGAGGAGAGTATGTGGGACATGGAAAGATACTCAAGGCAGCCATGCCAAAGGTGAGGGGAGCATTGAGTGATTGAAAAAAACCTGAGGTACCATCAGGCATTTGTCACTGTGTCTCAGCTCTGCTGCTGTTGGTGCTGTAGGCAAATGGCGGATACCCTGGACTCCAATGTGTATTGTGTTGGCCATAATCTGGCTGACTGACAGGAGCTATTCTGCTGCAGGATCGAAACGAGGAAGTGGTGGCCCAGAGATTGTGGAGCCTCAGCGAGAAGTTGACTGGATATAGACCTTTGAAGGAGCTGTCTTGACAGGTGTATTGTTATCACTTGTCAATGTTTTAGGATTTTGCTGGAAGAACAACCTCTTTTCTGTGCTTTTTCTCTCTTCAACAGCGATTCCCCTTTGTTCTTGTTGCATCCTGTCATACTCTTGAAAGCTTGCAGTATGCACCAGAGGTTGGCATCAGACTGATTCCAGGAGGAAGGAACTTTGATGCGAGGGTGCTCACGTACTTTCCTGTTCTGCACAGCTTCAACCCACAGCACGTGGATATTATGAATACCAAACATGTAGTCAAGGTCAGGGGTCTCCAATTCCTGGATTTTGTTTCCGTCTCCGTCCTTCTCCGACCCAGGTGTCGAAGACGGATATCTGTCCAACTTTGGCTTTTACTAAAATCGGTCATTTCTGTCCTATTCCATCCGACCTACATTTTTTCTGGCACTTCTGACGAGCTCCGACTGGTCGGATTTCTTTTTCCCTACCAACTGTACAGAAGCACATCTTTTGTGTCCATCCATCCGTCCTATCCGAATGAGTTGATGGAAATTCCCGACTGTTACATTTAAATTGAGAGTATGGACGAGTGACGGGGCGATTTTCAAGAGGCGGAAGTGAACGAGGCGACGTGAAGGAGGCAAAGTCGATTAAGTCATTTGGATGCAAGTTGCTTCATGCAACCACATAAAACAAGTTTTTGTCATACGAGGCAGTTCACAATTTGTGAATGACAAAGGCCCTTTGCGAAAGGGTGTACACTGTATATATAATCATGTGCAATACATGTACAAATGTTGGGCAACAATGTTTCAGGGCATGCAAACACCCCTTGGCATCGGCGCCTCTGGCACGCCGCCCGGCTGTATTGCGCCGCTTGTGGGCCTTCCCAGCCAAGTTCGCCACAGCCTGAACACGCGCACCTTGGCACGCCGGCGTGCCGGTACTGTGCTCCACGGTTTAGGCAAGGACCTTTCAACAGATGTTAAATTCGCCGTTAGTCATGAAGCCATGTCACCCAATGATTGGCTCATGATTAGCACATGGCGATTGACTGGGTGTCACAACACCATAGACCAGTCAGCATTGACATGGACAGCCACAAAGCGTTGCTAGAAAAGCGAGAAAAGCATGCTGATGGACCTGCCTCGATCTAAGGAAGTGGCAAGGCGTGTAGAAGGCGTTATGAAAAACAGATTGAAAGACATATTTCTAAGGGTAGTAGTGAGCAGTTATAACCCGAAAATCCCTGGCCAAATCAATTAACAAATAGGCTATGGTGACAGAAATGAGGTAGGCGTCACTCGCCCTGTGAAATCGGATGTTTAGGAGACCGTCAAATTTGGTACAACAACCCCAAATTGGGGAAAACGCTGCCAGAATTTGGCCAAAATATGGCACGTTTTGTTGCACAAATAGTGGACAGTCGGGACATAGTTTTAGGTAAAAAACTAGTCGGGAATGTGGATATTATGCTGCCAAAACTCTGTCAGAGTATGCAGCTAATTGATGGGAGTTGACTGGAAAAAACGGGGACTGATTTGGATGAAAATTGAGGAAGTTATGGACCAGAATAGCGTTGTGATGGTGGCTGCCATCAGGCTGTTAATATGGCCATGATATATGATCATTTACATTAGAATGTATGCTGCTCTCATAAACAGCGCATTGGTATTAGCCAAGTAGTTGCAAAGTGACTGTTGGACCCCACGTTTCCAGAAGGTTGTTGCCATGGGCGCTTGGACAACACTAGAAAATTGGCTCAGTGTGTGTAAGTCTATACTTAAGGCCGTTTTTGGAAGCTGACAGGAAGCGAGGAATGTGTTGTAAAGTTCCTGTCACGCTGACCTGATGAGTAGTGCTTGAATTATGGCAGTAACACGTTGGGATTATGGAGGGTCGTTTGAGTGAAACGGGACACCTCCATTTCCGGTGGTTTGGTGTCCATTCGGTGCAAGTTGGGACCATCGGTCAGCCATAATTGAGACTGGTGGTTGTAGTCCAAGGATGAGACGTCGGAAGGAAAAATGGCACAGTTGTTTGGCGTACAATTCCTTGCAACCTCATGCAGTGTGACTATCTACCTCTGCTCGTGCATTCCATAATTCCCAATGTACTAGGGAATTGTGGGACGCACCAAGGGACCCTGCATCCCATACGGGAGGCGTGAGGCTGGGCTCCGAGGGCCCCGGGTGTTTATGCTTGTGCGCAAGCTCTATCGAGACAGCCCAAGCAGGCAGAGTGTGGCGTGGCAGTCAGGATCCCGGAACCCTTCGAACGGCGACAGAAAACGGGGGGGCTGGAACCAACCTTGTGCACCCATTGAAATGGTTGTCTTTGGCGGAGAGGAAGACATGGGTGCGAACGCCAGGGAATGGATGCCCCATTTGGACATGCCAAGTCGATGAGAACAGCGCGCTCTTCAGAATGCTATGGCTGGCTTTGTTTGTGCGCCTACCATGTGGATACATTGAAAGGAGAAAGGCTTCTGTCCCCATGGGCGAGGCTAGCATTCCCACATACCTGGCGGTGGCGTTTACGGCGAACTAGGTGGCCATTGTGCCTTCGATTAGAGGCGTATGGTCTGGCCGCTGTCCCCACACCCACGTGGGCGTTTGCCCTGTGCCAAAACATCAGGCGCAGGGTTGAAGGGGACCGTGGCCTTTGGTCACCTCTCCGAGAATGTGCCTAGCTTGCCGCGGAGGGTGATCGAGCAGTGAAGATGCTGCACCCTTTTGCTTGGAAGTCGGAGGGCCCACTGACCTTCATGGCCGAGGGTGCGGGAAGCATGCGGGTGAGCTACATTTTGTGCTCGCGGGAGGTGCGATGGGAACTGCTGGCCATATCCAAAACGAAAGTTTGGATCGGTGTGAACGGCGAGATGCCCTTCAAAGATTATACCGAGGGGCCTTGGTTTTCGGACGGTTTTAGTGCTCACAAGGAGCTGGATACCCAAGCAAGTGAGTGATAGGCTTTGCGCACTCAACTACCCACCGATTGGAAGGCGTTTTATGAGGAAAAAATCAGCAAATGGGTTTGGGATGGAGAAACCGAGTGGAGTGCCCATTGGTTCGAGGCGTGGGCGCTCGAATATGCATGGCAGTGACATGAAGACGATCCTAACTTCTACGGAGATGAGAACTACCCGACTTACACCACGGATGGCAGGTGAAGGCTATGCACCTTTGCATACGGATGTGGGTGCTCCGCGGCGGAGGAGGTGACCACTGGATGGCGTTGGGTGTCCGCCGAGGATGTTGCAGCATGGGGCTCCCATGAGTGGGAGCTCCACCAACTTGCAAGGGCCGGCCTCCTCGATATGGCGGAAGACCCAGAGTTGTTGCCACAGGACGGAGTGGTGGGCGTGTTGGGAGTAGCGGAAGCAAGAAGCGCGGAGGAGGGCGATGCCCCGGAGGAGGGCGGAGTCGAGATGACGGACGTGCAAGAATTGGCAATACAATAAAATAAAGGTTTCTTGGGGCCAAAGGATGATGAAGCGAATGACTCAGAAGATGACTACATTGACATCGGGGAGGTTAACGTGAAGAAAGAGGAGGAAGTGGAGAATGGATGGCAGACTGTGCATTGAGTCATGGAGCAAAATTGGGAAGTTGTTTGGAGGTTGTGAGATGCATTAGTGAATAATTGTTCATTTCAATATTGGTCATGTGCATTTTAAGGGAAACGGGCTGCGGTTTGATGAATAACAATATTACTGATATGATATAATATTGAAGAGAAGCAAGGACATGTGGGAATTTTAGGCATCAATGTTGCAGGGCCCTTTTCGATGGCCTTCACTAGTCCCCTTTGTCACGCGCATCCCACTTCATCCGCCTGCACCCAATGGGCCGATGGCCCTTCCGCCAAATCCGGCGGGCATAACCGGGGTGCTCGCTCGTTCGTTGTGCGGTGGGCCCTCTTGCGTTCTGGGATCGGGCAGTCCTGCTGTTCGAAGATGGCGGGGTGCAAGACAGCTTGCTCCCCGGGCCGCGAGGCCCGTGCGAAACGCGGCAGTGAGCCAAACGGGGTAACAGAACGGGGAGCAATGCACCCCCGTGTACGTACTGGTGGCCGGCCACATTAAGGTCCGACCACCCATCACACAGACACCACACAATGCACATCAGCATATCACGACTGTATCACCCGGCATACCCCCGTATCGGACCCACTATCGATACATCGCAGCCCAGTCTACCCCCACGGCCTATCCCCTAAGTACAGGGATTTCCCTAGGCCATAAATTGTTGTATACTGGGGGGGATTTAGACAAAGAAAAAGCCTACGAATATCTAGAGATCACAAAGAATCCAAATAATGGGTCTAATCCTATAGATTGCCAACCAATCAAGACTAATGGTCATAATTCTCTCGACCCCCATATATTTCCACAACATTACTTCCCCCTGGGGGGAGTTTTTGCCCTTGAAAACAAGACTGAAATCAATGTCCTCTATAGGCTACATGATGGTTGACCTAACTGCAAAGCTAGTGTCACCTTAGGTATACTTCACTAACCATCTGTCTAATCCCTCTATGGAATTTTGGGATATGTTCTTGTGTACAAGAAAATCAACGGACCTTCTTGCTATCGGGACCTCTTTAGTATCACTGCTATAGTTGCTCATCTCAAAAATCTCCAAGTCAGGTCTCTCCCATCACCATGTCGGATGTACACTGGTGTTCATCTTGAAAACGCAAAAATGAAATAATGCTATGACCTATGTCCGAATACAGTAGGTCAGCATGAGTGCTATCTACTTGTACACTAAGTGTGTTGCCGGTCGACCAGAAGCATCCGACTGTCCACTACCTGACAAGTCTAATATAGAAATAGACAACTTATGAGCCAGTTGTCCATCTAGGGATTGGTATATATCTACTGAAAATACACATTGCTCCCGCAAACATGCTCGCTCGAGTGGTGCACACGCACACACACTTTTGCTGCAAATCGTGTGCCAAATCGCAGGAAGCTTGCAAACTTGCAAATGTGGCACCCTAAACCCCAAACCCCGTAACCCCAAAC